TATCTTACTAGTCTTGTATAAATCACAGCGACCGCCACACTCATTCGATTCTTGTGTATCTGTTTTTGATGAGATGCTTCAGCAAAACAATTTATAATGCCCTCTAAAATATACAATGATATAAAGGCTATTCAGTTTTCTTTTTCGACTGCTCTTCCTCAACATATTTGTATGCGTAACGAGCATCCTTTATCATCATATCAGCGATTCCTGAGCTTAGCACCTGAAAACCTCACCATTGATTTCTGAACACATTCTGCATCTCATTATAGAGTTCTTACAGCTTTCGGTGTTATCTTGTCCTTCAAATCCACTGATACCAAATATTCTATACTACACTTTGACGGATCATTTGCTAATGGACTAAATTTGCCGGCAACCACGTTTGCCCATCCACTGTAAATAAATAATTTACTGGTGGTACTGTGTTCCATAAAACACCTATACGTACCGCTTTTTCTTTGGTGCTATCGGAACGTCGCTTTCGAAACTGGTGGCCGCCACGACATAGGAGTCGCCTACCTGAAAATGCTCATGGGATTAAACGTATGGCCTCATCAAATAAGCAGGTTTATAAAATTTTATGCTACTAGTTGCTGAAAGCCACTAGAGGGACAGCCAGAAGAAAGACGGGAATCACCATCAGATGTACTTTTCGACTGCATTCGTATGATACCGCATAAGACCTATGTATACCGAATATCCATCTGAGAGACCGCTCCGATGTATTATACATATAATAGTTGAAGGGGGGAGGGTGAGTGCTAGAGAGCCGAATGTATTCAAAACCATGACTAAAATTGATAACTAACATGCTTTCCCATAAACGTTCAGAACAAGTGATACACACCAGGTTCCGTTGTGAAGGACGTTAACGAACTGGTTACGGAACATTCTACTCCTTCAAAAAATCATATCACCCAGTCGACATGGACTTCTACGAAAGTTTCGCCCCACGAATGTCGCGAACCCTATGCCATGAGGAATTAATAATTAGTATTGATCAGACTTTCTTGAAGACGACTGCTTCGCCTCGAAAATCGCTCTTTACTGCGGGGATAGTTGGTAAACGATCAGCTTCTCAGCAAAGAGCTTCATGGGAGCCTCTTGGTGAGATCCAAATAGTTTTACGCTCTGCTTGGCCAACTATTAGAGACGATATGAAAGCTTCCCTAGACCCTTGATATGAATGTTTGTGAAGAGAGCCGATTCATAGCAATTTATTATGAATACAGCGCAAATGAGAATGGAGATCACACCAGAAACACAGCTCCATCCAACTACCGTCCGATTGAACTTATGCTCAATTTTTTTGAGAATCAACATTTCGAGGGCGGAAGTGGTGTAGTGACAAGTGGCGCGCTCACCACGCGAGCGGTCCGGGATCAAATCCTGGGTCGTGAGTCGCCCGGGCCAACCAAGCCTTCCATCCCTCCGGGGTCGGTTAATTGGTACCAGACTTGTCTGGGAGGATAAAAAACACTGACTTGTACATCGGCTGGCCCCCGCAAGTCATTGTATAGGCCACATCGCATTCAAACTACTGAAATGTACAAATGGAAGTAGAATGCGTGCCGCATCCCAAAAAGGGATTGATCAACGGCAAATGCTTTATCCTTTATCCTTTTTTATCAACAATTTTCACACTATATAACATTTAAGTGGTTTACCTTCCTCCACATTCGACATACAACGAAGTCACGGCCTTTAACAACAATCAGGTCGGATGTTGTGTACTAAACAATTATTATACTATCGCGAAAAATTATTATACTATCGAATGAAATACTAAAAAACCGAGACAATCGACTCTCTAACATCACTTGAAGACAAGTGCCTCAAAAACTATTGTAATAAACAAGACGCTCACATGAATAATATCAGCGTATTCACTGATCGTATCAACGCGTTCCACACTTTGCACATTGCTATTCCATTCTGGTGTTTTCTCTATCTGAAAGCACAACCAAGATGGTAACAGCCGACAGAATTCGGCACTGTGATGGTAGCAGTCTCTAGAGGTAGCTATCTGGGCTCTGAGCACTACGTATTCAAGGTATGGAGCCAAGGACGAGATACACTGAGCATAGTTGAGCACTCACAACCAGGGTGAGCCAAATGTCGACGAAATTTGGCTAGAATTATCTCCCTACTCTACCACTCATCCTGATATGAACACCTTCTCCAGAGAGCAAATCGCGGCGTCTCTCATAAAACTTGGACTGAAAGGATAGGATCAAACTATGGTCACGGTCACTTTGTCCCTCGACTTCTCTGTTTCTAATACCTGCCTCCGGCTAATATAGTACTCTTCATTGCTGGTAGTTCTACCACATTTTTTGTTTGCCGAGAAGCAAGCTCATATAGTAGGGAAGCATATTCGAAGCACATTCAGACATTCAACAGATTGGGGCAATCGCATCATCAGAATAATTGTTACCATATTTTGGGCCACTGGTAATGAAAGATAATAAACAGAACTGGCAGAATCAGATTAGAATCACGATTTCCTACTTCGTGAGTATTTCATTTGGGGATTTCTTCGCTTTTTGCGCCACTAGTATTCAGCATCCCAACTTCACTGTAAATGCAACCCTGGCTTATCGTTATCCATCGCCATGAATAAATAATGTGTGTACTCCCAAAGAAGTTCCTTTGCGCTTATAGTTGTGCAGCGCTGCTAGGGGGAAGACAAAGTAATCGTTCTGGCGTACTGATAAGCACCTTACCTCAGTCCAGTGGCTCCTGAATAACGACTCTGAATCTGTGTTGAACGATTTCTGAAACAAATCTCAGTAATTTTGAGTATCAAGAATAGAGCAAACAAAATACAAATTAAAGGCAAGCTCTGGAATTAGCCTCGCTAATAGGTGGGATACCTCATGGGAAAATCTAGGGTCGCACCTACAGATAGTGTGCCACGCCAGCCGCACAAAATGTGCGCTTAGGGCGCTAATCGTTAAGGAGCTACAACCATCGCGACTCTCTCCATATACAGCGATTGTTGTGGAGATCAGCGTACCCTCTAAGGCCGATGTCAGACTTTGCGAATCGCGCGATTCGCTAGCGTCTGCGGTCGCGTCGCGGCCAGTGAATCACTCAATTGGCTGGTACCGCAAC